TCTACTTTGGTGGGAACAGGTGGTCTCATGCACAGCACTGTGCTGATACATCCCTCCATGCCTTTGGTGATGCTGTTCTCCCTGTTAAATCGTTTAGCCTAATGCTGCCTCCTTACATATTTTAAGTTCAGTCTAAATGTTTCCTTGTACATTGTGAGCCATAACAAGTGGAGATGTGAACAGACCATAGCTTACTCTTCTGCCAATCACCAAGTTTTGTCCAATCCGATATAGCCCACTGTTTGAGCCGTGTTTAAATAAGACAAACACTGAGCTGTAACCAATCCAGCTGTTTCTGTCCCTCACTTCTGTTTTCTGTATGTCACTTTCCTTTTTCTGTCCATAAATCTTCTTCCAGCACGTGGCTATGCTGGAGTACCCACCACTGTGGCTCAGGAGGCTGACCGATTTGCAAAGTGTTCTTTGCTTAATTAAACTCTTACATTTAATTCAACGGAAGTTTTCTATTTTATTACCTCTAATACAATGGCCTTCCCCACCTTTCTCTTGGCTATCTTCCATGCCTGGCTTTAGATTTACCTTCAATGTCACCTTCTCCAAGAAGCTTTCCTTAAACCCAGCGTTGTGCTGTGATCCTCTTCTATGCTTGCCATGTGATATAAAAAGTTTCTATGTGTGTCTATCTCCTCATCCTGAGTGTCAGCTTGTCCATGGACATGACTGTATCATATTCACATAGATACCCCCACATATGGCACTCCCTCAGGAAATGCCTCTGGAACTCTTTTTATACCCTCCAGCACCTGTTCAGGATTATGGACACAGGTTTTAGTCATTGCAAAACTCACTTCAATGTTTGTTACAGAAGGATGCTCCACATCAGTGAAACTAACTGGCAGGTAAGAAGTGACATGGATTAAAACACAAAATTAAAGGCTGGCATTTTTCTAAAAGAAATGTCTATGACAAAGACCTCAAATCTCACTGAAATTGTTCCTCATTTTGATGCTTAGTAACATCTAATCAGGAATAAAATATACAATCAGATTTAGCTGTGGTATTTACCCCATTCTGGTATCCAAGAACTCGTAGATATCCTATAGCACTTATAAAATTTAAATAAAAGATAAACTTGTAAGGACACATATTGATAACCAGAGAACACAAGGCTGTCTATAATAGCATTTTATTTTTTATTATAGATTGAAGGTGTCCTTGACAACATTGTGTAGATGCTATCTGTTTGCTTAAGGAGAACATGCTATAGATAACTACAGTATATACCAGCACCATTGAGAGTAGCTGTCTTTGCTTTGATCAACTTTATAAAATTGAACTCTTAGGACAACAAAATCAGTAAAGCATTGTTTTGGTGAATGCCGTATCAAAAACATAGACATTTGATTTTATTATGGAACCCATGCTCCTGAAATAAGTGGAGAAAATACTTTCTGCATCTCAGCAGCCCTCTGGCTCCCCTTGCATGCATATTACACAGGGTTTGAAGGTAGTCCTCCAAAATATTAGCTGAAAGCTTCCTCGGAAAGCAAATCTTTCCCACATCCTTCCCTGCAGTTCCTCTTTAAGAGGTGTCAGCATGGCTGAAAGAATGAAGTGGCTGCACATTGTTTGGCAGTGCTATTATGTGCTTAACATTTCCATAACAAAAGTGCCACTCGACTTCTCCCCGATTAATGCAGCTCGAGGGCTCTTGTCGTCCTTTAATAAAACATTGTTGAAATCATTTATTTAGAGCCCCTGGTTACTAGTGGGAGAATGACCATCTTTGTGCCAAAATATAGTGTATACAGTCCACTATTTTGTAGTAGATCATTCTGTTATTTAAGAAATTGATTAAATTGATGCTTAGAAGGAAGGTATTTATGCTAATAGCACGTGACTTATGTCATTCAGATAGTCAAGGGTGAACCTTTTCCACTGTCTTCCAGAGGCAATCTCTCAAATAGACTACAGTAAAGTCCAACTTTACTTCACTCACAAGGCAGCGAGACCCATGGAGACTCAACCCTCCTTAACTACACTGGCCACAAGGCGTTTGCAACCTGATGCCCTCCCACAACCTTGCTTTGAGTAGCTAGGAGAAACAGGGTCAACTGGCAAGATTTCTGATGTCCCTTGGTGTAAGAGGTCAAAACACAAATAACGCAGGCTTTTCTTTTTTATGGGTTGAAAGGAGATACATGAGGTTATTTTGTTAGAGAGCCTCCACAATGAACTCAACAAGCTAACAATGCAAAGCCAAAGTAGAAGACTTTAAAAGTAGAAAAATTTTTAATACAGTGTTTGAGGTTTCTCATGGTGTTTTGGGGATCTGCTTTTATTTGATGCTCTGTAACATTGCTGGGATGGGCTGAGGGTGTGAATACAGATGGTGGCAAGGAAGAGAGAAAGCTCATTCCCCTGAGGGTTCTCCTGACTCTTCAAGGCAAAGAGACGGAAAGATTCTGTCTTCGCCCACAGGGACCCCATCTGGAGACTGACGGTACACCCTAGATGTGTTAGAACCTGATGGTCCCTTAAATTTGTGGCGATCAGGGCTAGGAACTATGTCCATCCTTCTAGACATTTGTAGGGTTGCTGTCCAAGTACAGAGAAGTCCTGCTACTTAGTAGAAGAACTTATTTCCCTACAGACATGTTTCCACTTTACATACGTGTATTGCTCCCGTACATCGCTATATATTGTTTAAAATAAACAGAGACCTTATGTTATGTCCATTGTGATTATATACAAAAGCGTTGCTGTGTGCTCGGGTGAGCAGTGAAGCCTGAACCTCCTTCTATTTACTGTATGGTCACTGTCAGTTCAATGAACTGCCTCCTTGTTCTCGACCATTGTCCCACACTCCCTTAAACATTTGTCACTGAAGTGCCTCCAAAGACAAATAAACTGTCACTGAGAATTCAAACCTGCTAACTGGGGAAATGAGAAAGGCTGTGAGGACTCATGATTTTACGCAAAATCTAGAAGGAGTTCCTCTCACCCTGGCGGAGTTCTGTTAGAAGGCTGATGCTTTTTGAGAATCCTCAGGAAAAGCCAGAGATACCTTTTCTTTCATTAATGGGACTTCCAGCCATTCTCCATGGGACATTCGAGATTGCCAAATGTCCAAAATTCCAAAAGCCTCCCCAGAGAGCGTGAGATATTACAGATGTCAACATCTGTAAAAATCCTTTCTGCTTAGAAGCAGATGGCAATATGCAATCTCATAACCACTAGCCGAAGGGTTCTAACATCTCAACAACCTCCGCTAGGTCTGCAGGGGTACCAGAGGACTCCTGGGCTCCAGTGTATAATTGTTTAAATGAAAATGGACCACCAATCAATGTTCACTTTCTTCAAGGAAGAAAGCATAAAGCCTCGTGTCCTCTCTCCCCAAGACCGAGTTGTGTTGATTTATTCCAGGCAGATGCTTTTGACAGGACCCTGTAAAATCAAGTTGTGAGTTTATTGTAGCAGTTAATTATCAGGCCTTTTCTAGTGCTAATGCCTTTTACTTCTTACTGGGGAAAACTGGGCCTTTTACTGGGACAAAGACTTAACTTTTAGTCAAGAATGTGTTAAAATAACATGAGATGGAGATGATTTAAATATATTTAAGGACAAACGCGCGGGAGCACTGCTAACTTGTCGTTTTGTAAAGAAAGCTGATTTCATTTACAAGTCTCTGGGAATACTCTTTGTTCACTTCCCAAAGAAACAACGCTCTCAGCTTTGTTTTAACAATATGTTTACTCAACCATTCAGGTGACTGGAGATTCCAACCACACACCACTCTCCTGGGCTTACGTCTGACACTACAGCTATCTTAGACTTTCTAATACTATACATACACAAATTGTGGTTTTAGGTGCACCAAGAAGTGTCTTGAAAACCTCCATAAAAGCTGGGAAAAGAGCGAGTGAGAGGCACAAGAAACATTGAAAGTAGGGGGGTGGGAGTGGGTAGGAGGAAGTCAGAATGGGGGCATAGCTTTGTTAATTACTTTAGGCAGCAGAGAAATCTGGTTATGTTTTTTCAGCACATGTTAATATCAAATAAAGAGACACCAGATCTTGCTAATCTGTCGACCCCTCAGACAAAGTTTATTTGTGGTGACTTTTAAACTCCTGACTTGCCTTCCAATCACCGCGTTTAAAATGAAAAGCTTTAAATAAACACCAGGAATAGAAGATAAATAAACTTTTTTTCCCCCTTGCAAGTGCCTAGCTTGGCGAGGTTCAGGCTCAAATCCCCAGAGGACAGAGCGCTCTCTTTTGTGTTAATGTTTAAAAGATTTTCCAATGCCGGAGTTTATTCCTACTGCAAACATTTCTATTTACAAGGTCAAGTGTATCAGCACTCGACACAGCTTAAGAGTGTAATTATTTATCTAAGGGCGTTTGAGTGTAGATCAGTAGCTCTGGCAGGAACCCAGCCTTCAGCCACTGCTAAACAACTCCTCACAACAATATTGCAAGTTCTGGTGATTGTTCCTTTCCCCTGTGTGTTTACTTTTGCTGGTCTGAATGTTTTGCAACAAAATTTTGTACTTTTTCACCAAAAGTGTGAAAATGACTTTGAAGTATTGAGTCTTGCAAGCTTCCTAAAACCTATTGGTAACAGATGTTATTGGCATGTTTGATTGAGAATGGCTAGTAGCCAGAGAGGATACTCTTGGGGGTAAGGGGTGATGGGAAGGGGGATACAGAGAGGGGAGGTCTCAAGGAAAAAGGGGGAGGCGGGGCAACATGATGTCTGAGTTATCCTCAAATTATGTACAAGAGACACTATTTTGTGAATTCTCTCCACAAACGCAAACACCAATAGAGAGGCCAATTAGATATTTTTGGCTGCCTCATTTACAGATGTCTAATTGTTCATTAAATTAAAGGCAGAAATAATACCCTGCATTTCTTGTCTTGTACTGTATTTGCATTTCAGTTGATGGTTGATAGATTCTCAGTGCCCCCTCAGCCCCCCTCCTCACCCATTATTGGGTTAACCACAATGTAACTCTGGAAAGTAACTACACCATATTCATTGTTTAAAACTCTTTACTGATGTACACGTTTTAATAAAACAACCAAAAAATACACAAATCCATAGTTATTTAAAAACTTAGGATTTTTTAAAAACAATGTCTATAAAAATACAACGTTTAAGGCAGTTTGGAAATGCATTTGTACATTTCTACAACGTCCATAAATTCTCTTGAAAATAAGAATGTTAACTTCAATTCTATAAAATACACTGTACATTTTAAGACTGTTCTAAATATAGCACACTTCACAATGGACCGTGGGTTTTGATTCCTGGTGACAAATAGATTCTATACATTTCGGGGGGGGGAGATGTAATATGGATGTGAGTTTAAAACTTTTAATTTCTTTTTAAAAATAAATTATTTCTGAAGCATACAATTTATAAAAATTCTATATACAAAGTACAGCAACTGGTAACAAACCCCAGTTTTAATACATTTTATATACGATGTACCAGGGTTTAGCAACCCTGATAGGAGCAGAGGCAATATACATTCTCCGCATATTTAAACATACAATTTCTTGATGTAAAGAACAAAAATGGCAAAAAAACAAACATCATAAAGAGGCTTTCATAGATGGCAGTGCAGAGCTTTTTTAAATAAAAAGTTGCATTGTTCAACACCATGGCAACCCCTTAGATCAGCATTTTTTGACCCTTAATCCTAAGAAATGTGCTAAGAGATCAGAGTGGTAGCAATGAAATTAAGGTCAAGGGCTCAAACTTATCCAAAACCAATTTAGGGGTTCCCTCTAAGGCAATCGCCGCCCACCCCCACCCCCACGTCACTGAGAATTCTGGGCGCTCATACAAACAGTGAAAGAATGAATCGGTAAGTGGGACTTTTCTGTTTACATAGGATTCTAACGTCCTCACTGGCCACAATCTATAAAAGTCGATACTGGTACTTTTTTTCCCCCTCAAAGGAAATATGCTAATAGGCAGCCCCTTTGCAAATATAATTCCTCCTTCCCATCCCTTCGAATTGCTAAGGCCCCACTGGTCAGCACCTTCCCTTTCGAGTCCAGGACTACTGTTATGTCCCCTACATGCCCGCTTCCTCCGGGAGGTCCTGAACACTGCAGCTAGGTTTCTGGACGGCAGACAAGTCGGGAGTTTCTGCAGCTTGGAATTGGGGCGGGGGAAGAGGTCCAAGAAGTCAAGCTCCGGAGAGGAGCTTCAGGGGAAGTGCCCAGAGTCGTGGCGGGGGGGACCGGCTACACCAAGTTGACTTGAAAAAGTTTTGGGAAGTATCCCCAACCATCCCCTCTATCTGTCCCCAAGCCACAGGTGCCCCGGCGCGGGGGCGAGGCGAGCACGGGAGCGGGACGCAGGCTCTCCCGCAGCCAACGGCGGGGGGCGCGAGGCCTAAAAGAGCAGCCCGAGCAGCAGCAGCAAGATGGAGGTAAGTGGGGTCCAGGCGCCCCGGGGCGCCGAGCGGCCGCCGCCGCCGCTGCTCCTGCGCCCGGGCCCATAGGGCAGGTCCCCGCGGCCGCCCGCTGCAGCAGCGCCGCTGCCTGGACGCGGTGGGTGCGGGACGCCGTCGTCGTCGTCTAGCGGCTGCTCACCACCCGCGCCCCCGGGGCGCTGCTCGTCATCGTAGTCCTCATCGTAGTAGTCGTCCAGGCCCCCGTCCGAGCCGCTGCTGCCCGGGCCATTGCCCAGCTCGGCGCCGAAGCACAAGCGGGCCATGTTCTCCTTGACCGACTCGCAGATGGGTCGCTCCAGGCCGTCGCACACGCAGTCGTTGAGCAGTGCCGCCTTGGGCATAGCCAGCATGTCCTCAATGACGGTGCGGCATTCGTCCGTGCAGCGCAGCCCGTTGAAGACCTTGCCGCAGTAGGTCAGGTAGCGGCTCAGCGCCAGGTTGCAGCGGCTGTCGCGGTCGCAGCGCCGCCGGGCCTCGGTGCAGCCCATGACCCCGCCCGCGCCGGGGCCGCCCGCGCCGCCGCCGCTCGTCCGGGGCAGGCACGGCTCAATGGCGCGCTTGGTGGACTTGCAGTTCTCGTCCTGCGCGCAGTCACAGTCCTCCAGGGCGGGCCCGCGGCGCGTGTGGTTGAGCTGAATGAGGGCCGAGATGCAGTGGCTCGGGCAGCGCCAGCGCGACGAGAAGGAGGCGGCCGAGGCCGGGAAAGCTGCTGCGGCGGCGGCGGCCCCGGGCGCGTCGCCCCCGCCGTGCTGCGCCAGCACCGGCGCGCACGCCTCGGCGTACTGGTTGTAGGCGTAGCTGCACTCCGGCTCCCCCTGGCACTGCAGCAGCGCCTGCCAGCAGATGAGGCGGCGGCCGTGCGCCAGCCCAGAGCCCCGCGGCGCCGAGCCCAGCAGCTGCAGCAGCGCCATCAGGCACAGCCAGGCGCCCGGCACGGTCCCCCCGCGGGCCTCGCCGCCGCCGCCCAGCAGCGCGGCCACCATCGCGGGCAGCGGCGGCCGCCGGGAGAGGAGGGGAAAGGAGACGAGGCGCGGGGAGCGGCGGACGCGGAGCCGGTGGAAAAGTTTGTCCAAGTCCTGCCCACTTCTTGCATGAGTGTCTTCATAAATCCATGCGCGCCGCTGGCTGATGCCCCGCTGGTGGCAGAAGGTCCCCTTTCGCTCCGGCTGTGGTGGCTTCCTGGAAATGAACAGCTGCCGAGATCTTGTCCCGCTCTCCCACCCGAGAGCCCTCCGCTCGGCCCCCGGTGGTGGCGGGAGAGGCTCACTGTCGCCCCGGGGGGGTGCGGGCCGCGGGGCCGTGGCGGGGCTGCAGGACCGCGCGGCGCGGCGGGTGCATTTTGCTCCGCGCCTGCAGATCCGTTGTGCGGCCGGCTGTCCCCGCGCCGGCTGCTCGCGCTGTGGCCGCGGCGCTCCTTCCTCCCGGGCTCAGCGCCGCGCAGCCGCCACTGCTGCCGCGGTCTCTCGCATCGCGCCGCTTCCTGGCCCGGCGTCCGCGCGCTGCCCGCCTTCCCGCGGCCCGGCCGCCCCGCGTCCCCTCCCCCTCCGCCCGCGGCAACCACGGCCTCCGCCGAGCTCCGGGGAGCTCTTTCCGGGAGGCGCGGGGAGAACAAGAAAGTCGGCGCTGCCGGAGAGCGGCTCCCTGGCTTCACTCGGCGGCGGCTTCTCGGGTGACCAGGAGCCCGGGGAGCGGATCCGCTGAGCCCGGCTGCAGACTCGTTAGCAGCGAGGCTTTAAATACAAAAGTGGGCCGGGAGCCCCCGCGTGGTGCCGCGGTGCCCCCTCATTATGCATGCATGGAAAAGCAAACAAACAAAAACATTAGCAACGCTCCTCCGGCTCGCCGAGCCCTGGCCCCGCGCGCTCCGAGCCTGCCCGCTTTCTCCTTTCTCCACTCTCTTTCGCCCTTTGCTCGGCCCCCTTTCCCGGCTTTTCGAGATGCTATTGGTCCTGCCTGTTGTTGTTGAAAGTTTTTTTTTTTTTTTACGAGCCGCTGGAGTGGGGTTGCGGAGTGGGGGAGGGCGGGAGGGTGGTGGGCAGCTCACATTCAGGCATTCAGGGCTTGAAAGGAAAGGCTTAGGGAGCTTGACGGAGGCCGGGAGCTCCTCCTACTCTTAAGGAGGCTCGGATATGCAGCCCTAGCTCGCGCACTGAACCAGCGGGCAGGGCTTAAGGGCAGCTGTTTGCATCCGGCTCAGGCACGGGCCTTTTTTGTTTGGTTCTTTTTTCTTTTTCTTTTTCTTGCTTTTTTTTTTTTTAAATAGTTTTATTAATTCTCGCTGGCCCCCATCTGTGCTTTCGACTGGATTCAGAACTCAGTTTATCTTCCAGGCTCCCTGTCTTTGGGTCTCGATCACTGCAGAGGGGAGGGGGAGAATGCAGAGAGAAAATGTGAGACTGAAACTTTTTTAAAGAAGCATACAAGAAAGAAGCACACACTTTATTAGGGAGATGTTGATGAGATGCTTACAACCCTCCCTCCGCCCCCGAGTCCCAGTTAGGCCATCTGGCAGGTACCGCCCGTGCGCCAGGCATGGTTTTCAAATTGCAAGACCGAAATCCAATCAACCGAAATAATTTCTTAGGAAGATAAGCTTGCAACACGTGCAGTAATGAAAGAATTTAAATAGCATTAAAAATATTCAGGAATGTTGAGCAAGTACCACCTGGCTGCAGTCACAAGACAGAAGAAGGAGATAAATGGGCACGCACCAAAGGTTTGTATTAAAGTGTAAGTTTCAGCCCCTCACTACATTTAAGGGAGGCTGCCCCGCAGAGGAAACTTCTGCTGTCTCGGCGCGGGAGTTACCGAGCTACCTTAACTGGGGCGCAACGCAGCCTTCGGCCACCAGAGGCAGCGGGCGTCTGCGGCCTGTCAAAAACTGGCGCTTTTTTCCTCCCCTTTCCGTGGAGAGACTATCAACTCCATCTGTCACAAAAATTAAGGCTAAATCTCCTCCCCAGAAACAGAGGGAGCCGCGGCTCCGACGCGCTCAGCGTCGGGCTGTCCGCCTCTCCCTAGAGGCCAAGTGAATTTGAAACGGCAAAAGTCACAGCCGCAGGCCCAGCACTGGGAGATTCCTCCGGCTGTGGGAAATCCTCCTGTGCCTGCTGAGGCTGCTGCGGTCCTTAGAGGCGCTGGGTGGGCCGTGGGAAGCTGCACCTCTGCAGTACCAAAATCAAACCTTAAAAGAGCCAGACTGAGGTAAGGCGGACCGGCTTGCTCTCACTTGAGTCGTAGTAGACAAATAATATACATCGATACTAAAAAAATACAGAAAGCCTGCAACTTCATAGCACATCAAAGCAACCATATCCCTGATTCTCAATCTCTCTCTTTTTTTTTCTTTCTGTTATTTGGAGTTGTCCAAGTCCTCCAGGCAGGACTGAAAGGACTTGGACAACTCAGACACCTTCTCTGTGTCTGGGATCCCTCATAGATAAGGTTCGAAGCCAATTAGCACAATTGAACAAGCCCCTCTTGTCTTTAAAGCTTTGTTATTTTAGGCCCATAAGGAACAAAGTCAGCACTCAGTTTCATCTTTGCTTGAATGGTTGTTGAGTTCCTTTAGAATAGTGGGACCCAAACCTTAGCACGTATCAGAAAACTCAGATCCCTAGTTTTTGGCGTTTCTGATTCAGTTGGACTGGTGGGTCCCAAGAATGTGCATTTCTAACACGTTCTCAGGGAATGCTGCTCAAACTTTGAGAACCACTGCTCTCGAAGTTAACATGGTTTGTTTTTTCTGTGTTGTTGTGTTTTTGGTAAAACTTGCCCCACCTTGGCCTTGATACAGCTCTCAGTGGGGTTTAAGGGAGACCCAAGACCTCTGCATGCTTTGGGGACCTCTGCATCCCAGTCACACAGCATTAGCATTGCAATCCTGAGGGGTTCTCAGCCCACTTTTTTGTTGTGTCATTTCCATTCACCACAATAGGCTGTACTGTCTCCTATCTTAAAAAAAAAAAAAAGTAAAATCTTCTAGACTCCACGTCCCTACTCAGTAGCTATCCCATTTTCATGAAAACTTGAAAACCTTGCTTTTACTCATTTTTCTCACTCTCCTGTTCTCCCCTCGATTCACGCTACATAATTGAGTTACATTCGATTATGTAGAGTCATTAGTGACCAAAACCTTGCTCTACCCGATGGTCACTTCTCAGTCCTCAGCTTATTTGACGTTTCAGCAGCATTGGCCATGACTGATCACTTCCTTCTTTTCAAAACGCTTTTTAAAATTTTGGCTTCTGAAACTCCACACTCCCCTGTTCTCTCATTTTACTGCCTGGTGGCTCCTTCTCTCTCTTGACTCCTTAGGTAACCACATCTATTGCCTTGATTTTAAATTGCATCTCCTAATTTGATGTTTTCAATTTCAGTCTTTCTCTGATCTCCGTATGTATATATTCACTTGGTTCCAAGAACATCTCAAACTTAAGCTTCCCCAAAAGCACTTCTAATTTTCCATCCCCAAAACCTATTTGTTTACTGGGCTTTCTGTGGTGGATACCCTCCAAAATTGTTCTCCATCAGTGTTCCCCCTGCCTTTAAATCCTTACTGCTCAGACCAAAAGGTAGAGTCCAATCCCCTTCCCCCTGAGTCTTGGGTAGGCCTTACTGACTTTGATCAATGGGACATAGTGAAAGTGACTGACATTCTGGGGCCTCCAGGGCTGGATCACAAGAAGCCTTGCAGCTTCTACTCAGGCCTTCTATTAGTCCGTTTTCACACTGCTGATACAGACCATACCCCAAACTGAGCAATTTACAAAAGAAACAGGTTTATTGGACTTACAGTTCCACATGGCTGGGGAGGCCTCACAATTATGGCGGAAGGCAAGGAGGAGCAAATCACATCTTACATGAATGGCAGCAGGCAATGAGAGGGCTTGAGCGGAGAAACTCCTGTTTTTAAAACCATCAGACCTCATGAGACCCATTCACTATCATGAAAACAGCATGGGAAAGACCCACCCCCATGATTCAATTATCTCCCATGGGGTCCCTCCCAAATATGTGGGAATTATGGGAGCCACAAGATGAGATTTGGCTGGGAACACAGAGCCAAACCTTATCAGGCCTCTTGGAATGCTTGCTCTGGAGAAGCCAGTCACCATGTAAGACATCTGGACCACCTTCAGACTGGCATGCTATGAGGAAGCCCATGCTTACTATGTGTAGGTGATACATGGAGAGGGAAGGAGATCCCTGACCAGCTCCCTGCTATTTCAGCCATGTGAGTGAAGCAGGCACCAGACTTGTGAGTGGAGACACTATCTTGGATGTCCGGCCCAATTGAACCTTCAAATGGCTCCAGCTCTAGCTGCCATCCTACTTAAGGCACATGAGAGAGACCCCAAGCCAGGGTCAAGATCAGGGTGAAGCAAGTGAGGCATTTTGGTGCAAAATTTAAGGAGGCATTGACCTTCATAATTGGGCTCCAAAGACTCCAAGAGTGAGTGTCTCCTTAAATTTTGTACTTGAGACACTACACTCACCTTTCTGTAGTTCTGGTCTTGCCTCAAGCAAGAACAGCAGAGCTTAGCTCAGTCAACCCAAATAATCTTGAGAAATAACAACAACAACAAAAATGTTCTTTTAAGCCACTCAGTTTTGAGATGGTTTGTTAGGCAACAATAGATCATTAGAACTTTTCATCCTGTCCAGTTGCTTAACTGAAAGATGCTAGTATCCGCCTGAATTCTTCCCTTTCCTTCACATTCCACATTCAATTAGTGGTTCATCATAGGTGTCAATAAAATATTTAATAAGTTGAACGAATGAAGAATCAGCACTTACTTCTTGTCTTCTAAATCAGCCAACTCAGAACTAGTCCAAATCATTTCTATTACAGAGAACAGTAATAGAGACAGTGAGAGATTAAAGAATACAGAATAGTTCTGAAGTTTTAAAATATAAAATTATATTTCCAAAAGGGTTCACTGGTTCGGTAAAAGAACAAAAACCTCAATCAACAAGTACCAATTACCTTTTGGTGCTTTAGCAACATAGCCAGGATAAAGTAGGAGGAGATAGACTCCTGCCCTCAGAGGACTCAACAATATGTCACTTGACCATTTGGAGTTGTCAAAGTCTGTAACCACTTAGCAGAAGTCTTAAGTCACA